CTCTCTCTCTCTCTCTCTCTCTCTCTCTCTCTCTCTCTCGCTCGCTTTCTCTCCCTACACACACACAGAGATTCGCTTTCTCTCTCTACACACACACAGATTCGCTTTCTCTCCCTCCCTTCTCCATCCCCCCTCCCCCTCTCTGTCTCTCCTGGTTTAGATCCCTGGGTATAGATACTAACTCTACCTGAGCAGAGTTGGTTCTCCATGGCAGATTTCCTCAGAACTTGGTAGAAGGTCATACCAGGGGTATTACTTCTAAAACCCATTGCTGCTTTCCTTTTCTTTATGACCCCCTCCCTGGCTTACAGAGCTAATCTTGGCCTCAGATATTAATATATAGCCTATGTTCTGATTTATTTACTTTCTCTGATAATGACTTTAAGCCTGGAGCTTGTCCTCCTGCTTTGGCCCTCTGTATTTGGGGTGTGAATAATCTTAATTTGCCTCAGAAGATCTTGAGGTTTTCTTCCCTGAGCCTTTGTGGGGTGATGGTGTTCAGTTACTTCTTACATGTACAGTACCCTGTACTTCCTCTCTGTGTGGAGCAGTATGCCTACCTGCCTTTATCAGAGGCCAGTTGAGGAGAGATCAAAGCATAGGATGATGGAAGACGTCTCAGCACTGTGGGTATCTGCTAACAATCCACTATTTAAAATGGTTGGGCTGGTCAAATGCAGAAATGCAATGGAAAGAAAAACTAGGGACATGAGACTAAAAGGATAAAATCCAAGTGACAAAACTCTTTACCCTTCCCACAGTGTGTGGGTTCCTGGGCAGTGGGACTGGCCAGCTCTCCTCACTGCTGTCTCCAACGTGCCTTGAATAAGTCCTACACCAAGTAGGTGCTTTGTACATGTTTGTCATATCAGTGAGTGAATGAATATCTACTTGCTGGAAATGTAAAAGCACAAAATTGAGGTTCTCAGCCAGGTGCTGGTGGCTCATGCCAGTAATCCTAGCTACCCAGGAAGCTGATGTCTGAAGATTGTGTTTCAAAGCCAGCCCAGGCAGATAAATCTAAGAGACTCTTATCTCAAATTAACCAGGAAAGGTTGAAAATGGAAGTGTCATTCAAGTGATTGAGCACCAGCCTTAAGCAAAAAAGCTAAGGGAGAGCACCCAGGCCCTGAGTTCAAGCCCCAGTGCTGGTGCACTAAAAAAAAATTGAGGTTCTCTGTATTTAAGTCACCAGGCTCAGGAAACGCAGAGCAGGAAGAAGACTCACAACTACATCCCTCATCTAAGCTGAGCCTCCTTTCCAAAGACAGAGTGGATCATATTACTGATTGCCACATTAGAAAGCTGCATTATGATGTTTTTGAATCAAGGAATATAATTTGCAGGGGTATATATAATCTCCTACCATGTGAAGGAAAAAACAGTTTTGCTGTTGAACAGTCCAGCCAGTATTTCTTCCCAACTCTTGGGTTGTTTGAGTCTTGAAGAGCTGTCATTGCTGTGGGCACATTGTGGAGCTTGGGCAGTTAGGACACAAGGACCTCGGAGGCATTCCTTTCCTGTGTACATAAGTACCAGACAGAAGGTGGTACCTGAGAGAAGGGGCGAAAGAGGCTAGGGTGAAGAGAATCTATTTCACACTAATTGTCAGTGTGACACAGAAAGTCACTTAAGGACTGAATTTGTGTGGGTGTTATATTGAGAATGTGTTCCCATTGTGTTTCCAGTTTTTTTTTTTTTTGCTGGTCCTAGGGCTTGAACTGAGAGCCTAGGTGCTGTTCCTGAGTTTCTTTTGCTCAAGGCTAGTACCCTACTGTAGCACCACTTCCAGCTCTTTCTTAGAAGTTTATTGGAGATAAGAATCTCACAGAGTTTTCTGCCCAGGCTGGATTCAAACCTTGATCATCAGATCTCAACCTCCTGAGTAGGTAGGATAATAGGTGCAAACCACCAACACCTGGCTGTGTTTCCAGTTTTTGATGATCTCATTCACCACTCAAATATGTTTTCCAGGCTGTCGTTCATGAATCTGAAGGATTGTTGGGGTACATTTACTGTGATTTTTTCCAGCGAGCAGACAAGCCACACCAGGTAATTTTTTTCTTTATGAACTGGTTTGTCTAAAGTAGTCAGCAGTTGATTTATGCTAATGTGAACTTTATGTATTATTTGTACAGTTCCATATTTTTAATAAGTTTTTTATTGTGTAAATAACTGTACAGAGGGATTACAATTACATGAGCAAGGTAATGAGTACATTTCCTATCAAGCATTGTTGCCTCCTCCTTTGTTTTTCCCCTATCATCCCTTCCTCCCATCTCCACAACTACACTCCCCCCCACACACCTAAATTATAAAGTTCATTTTTCAATATAGCATCTTGTACATCTCATTGTTGCAATGGGTCAACCTGTATCCCTATTTAAACAATTTCTTTTTTCCCTTCCCCTTCCCAAATTATACCAACATCAAATACAGTGAAAACGGGTTATACTGTGGGGGAGGGACATACAAAGCAACAAAAAAAAATCACCTTATAAATATGTTAGAAACAATAGCAAAGAAGAAAAAAACACTTGTGCCCTTATATTGGGGTTCATTTCTCTTAACATCATCTTATCTGACTTTTTCTGCTTGTCTCAGACATGTACTAGTTATTGCAAATAAGAGAAACCATGGGACCTGTGTTTCTTTGGGCAATGGACAAGGGTCTCATATCTAAAATATATCTGGAACTCAAAAAATTAAATCCCCCAACAACAAATCATCAAAGAAACAACTGCCCAAAAATTAATTGGGCTAAAAACTTAAAGAGAAACTTCTCTGAAGAGGAAATAAGAATGGGCAATAGACACAAGAAGAAATGCTCAATCTCTCTAGCCATAAAAGAAATGCAAATCAAAACAACATTGAGATACATCCCAGTTAGAATGGCTCTAATCAAGAACTCTAATAACAACAGATGCTGGAGGGGATATGGCCAAAAGGGAACCCTACTGCATTGTTGGTGGGAGTGTAAACTTGTTCAACCAATTTGGGAAGCAATATGGAGGTTCCTCAAAAGATGCCACATAGAGCTCCCCTATGGCCCAGCAGTAAATGCCCACTTTTGGGCATTTCCCTGAATGATCACAAACAAAACCATACTAAAGCTACAGCACAACTATGTTCATTGCAGCATTATTTACCATAGCTAAGATATGGAACCAACCTAGATGCCCCTCAGTAGACAAATGGATCAAGAAAATGTGGTATATATACACAGTGGGATTCTATGCCTCCATTAGAAAAAATGACATTGTCCCATTTGTTAGGAAATGGAAAGACTTGAAAAAATTATTTTAAGTGAAGTAAGCAATCCCATATTATGTAGGTGGCACTAACGGTAGTTACAAGTTTGAAAATAGTCTAGAATGCAAAAACATGGACAAAGTTACTCCTGTATCTATTACATTGTCTGGAACATGTTAATAGCAATCATAATGGTAGCTGTTTTACAAATCCTTATTTTTACCAGCCAGAGCATAGAGCCCTTTATAGATTTATAGTTTATAATGTTCACCTCAGCCTTTTGCACTAGGCTCCAGTATTGAGTGAAACTAAGGCCAGGAAACTTAGGGACTTGTCCAGAAGTACACAGGCAGACGTGCTGGGCTCTGAACCCAGATATTCTGTCTAGAGCCCCAGCTCTCAACCCCATTCATGCTCAACAATGAACCTAGTTTAAAGTTACAGGGCTACCTGTAATCCCAACTATGTGGGAAACAGAGATAGAAGGATTGGTATATGAGGTGGTCTTGACAAAAGCATGAGACTCTATCTGAAAAACAAAAATGGATGGATGGGAGTGTATGGCTCAAGTAGTAAAGACCTGCCTAGTAAGTGCAGGGCTCTGAGTTCTAGCTCTAGTACCACCAAAAGAAAAGACAAATGTGTCAATGAGGGACCAGAATGCAGATCATTGGGCTCTAAGTCTCAAGGTCATTCTTCTGCCTGAGTTAGGGCAGAGCTACCTTCACATCCATACCAGCTGGGTGTCCTTGAACATGACACTTAACATTTGCAAGTCTAGTTTTAGTTTTCTTACCTGGAGAGTGAGATGCCTGCCTGCTCTGCTTGTTGTAAGGAGTTTCAGTAGAGTACTTATGAAATTCAGTGTAGTGTCTGTTGCAGAGTTTTTGTAATTGAGGAAAACAAGTTATACAGCAGACATAGCAAACCCTCTAGCTGATTGCCTGACCCTCAGGATGAATCTTGGAATCCCTTCCCGTGCAACTGAGAGTATCTCTTGCCACTTTCTGTGGTTACTTTGCAGGCAACTTTATCTGGCATAGCAACATTTCAGGGGCATGTTTTCTCAACTTAATAAGTGAATGAAATTCAAGCTCAATTTATTCTTGGTATTTTAGAAATGGAAGCTAACGAAATAAAAAGTGCTGAGAGGGTGTCTATAACTATGTATGTGGTATAAAAATAGTGCAGGTTTAAAACCTGACCTCACATTTCACTACAGTTTTATATTCATCAGGACTTCGTTACTCTCACTTTCTTTGCTTGGAGGTGGTACTAGCTTTTGAAGTTGTGTTGGCTAGGCAGGTACTATACTACTTGAGCCACGCTTCCAGGAAGACCTTGTTACTGTTTGGAGTGTGTAATACTTTGATCTGTCTCTTTCCTGATTTTCAAAGGATTGCCATTTTACAATTCGAGGAGGCAGATTAAAGGAAGATGGAGACTATCAACTTCCAGTCGTGGTTCTCATGCTCAATCTTCCCCGCTCCTCAAGGAATTCACCCACTTTATTGACCCCAGGAATGATGGAAAATCTTTTCCATGAAATGGGACATGCCATGCATTCGATGTTGGGGCGCACTCGGTACCAGCATGTCACTGGTAAGCCAGGAGGAGGATCCTGACTTAATAGAATCCTTTAAAAAAATAATATTACTGGGCACGGTGGCTCATGCCTGTAATCCTAGCAACTCAGGAGGCTGAAATCTGAAGATTGTGCTTTGAAGCCAGCGTGGGCAGGAAACTCTGTGAGACTCATTCCCAAATAACTACCAAAAAGCCAGAAGTGGAGCAGTAGCTCAAGTGGTACAGCACTAGCCTTGAGTGAATAAGTTCAGGGCCAGCACCCAGGTCTTGACTTAAAGCCCCAGGACCAGCACACACTCAAAAAAAAAAAATCAATATTATGTTTAAACTGGAAAAAGCTTGTAGTTTGTAAAATTTGATCATTTAATAATGAGTTGTCATTTTTTACCTCAGATTGTCTTGGTAGTGTTCTATTTCCTGATCCTCATGCTGTTTTCTTTATTATTATTATTATTTTTTTTTTGATTCTGGTTGTGGGGCCTGAACTCTGTGCCTGGGTGCTGTCCCTCACCTCTTCAGCTCAAGGCTAGCGCTGTACCACTTGAGCCACAGCGCCACTTCTGGCTTTTTTCTTTTTGCTTATGTGGTGCTGAGGGCCTCATGCATGCAAGGCAAGCGCTCTACCACTGAGCCATCTTCCCAGCCCCCTTATGCTGTTTTCTATCCTTGCTAAACATTTTGCCAAGGAATAAAAGTCTCTATGTCTTGGAGTTTATACTTAATATATTTGCTAGAGTTCAACATGGAGTTTATATTTGTGGCTTTCCGTGAGGATAAATGGACTTCCCCTTTGTCCCTAGCACATAGTGAATTAGTGTTGCTTTTTCTAAACCATCTTCATTTAAAAAAACAAGCATGTTCAAAAGTATAAAATACCTTTTTTTCCTTATATTGCCTACTGTATAAAGTTATAAATCTGCTGTATTTTGTTTTTTTATATTGAAGGTTACCACAGTCGATGATATTCTAGATTAATTTTAGCTGCCCTATCTCTAGGTCTTAAGCTCACTGCCATAAGTGGTCAGCATTTAGCCATGTGGTAAGCAGTTGGCATTCACGAGTTATGAACTCACTTTACATAGTATTTGAACAAGGAGAAGACATTGGAAAGATACATGGGCCAAACACAGTCATAAAATGTTAGGAAGAGTTCTTACTGCATTTGTTGCTTTCAGGAATTTTGAATTTAAAAATTACTGAAGGTTTGTGTTACAAAGCAATAAATAGATAAAAAACAAAATATGTTTAAAACAAAAGAACGTGGAGGTGGGGTTTAAAGACTTAGGAACAAATGCATGTGAGTTCCAAGTGTTTTCGTTTGTATTTCAGGTATAGCCAGTACAGCAAAGCCAGGCTTGTTTGCAGAGGGTGGAGGCCATCACAAAGCTACCTTTACAATGTGTTTTAGCAGCTGAGCAAATAATTCTGTTTTTACTTTCAATATATTGGAAAATGTATAGGATTATAATAAACTTTTCTGCAAATATGTACAATAATTTTATAGATGTAAAATCTTGATTGAGAAGCTTGTTATAGTTCATCAGAAATCCAAATGGGAGTTTTAAGTAAGAAAAGTTTTAAATAAGATAATTGTGTTTATTTAATATACACCGCTTTCTCTTTTCTCCCCATTTTAGGGACCAGATGCCCGACTGATTTTGCCGAGGTCCCATCCATTCTGATGGAGTACTTTTCAAATGATTACCGAGTAGTCAACCAGTTTGCCAGACATTATCAGACTGGACAGGTAGGAGCCTTGAACATGGGCTGAGCCTCTCTAATCCAAAAATCCAAACCCTATGTGCTTCAGAAAGCTGGCATGATGTCGCAAATGGAAGATTCCATACCTGACCTTGTGATGCTTGGGGTCATTGTCAAAACACAAATACACTAAAAATACCATATAAAAAATCACCTCCAGTATTTTAGGTGTGTAAAATACGGTGTCTGTGAAATGGAGCTGAATTCCCTGGTTAGACTTTGGTTCGGAATCTTTATATATATGCAAATATCCCAAGATTTGCAAAAAACATCCACAATCTGAATACTTCTGGGCCTAGGACTCTGGACAAAGGAAGTAGAGCTGTGGCTGGAAGTGGTAGAGCATTAGTCTTGAGTAAAAGAGCCCAAGGACAGCACCCTGACAAAAACTGACAAAGTATAATGGGTTGGGAATGTGGCTTAGAGCTTGCCTATTGTGCATGAGGCCTTCGATTCCTCAGTGCCACATAAACAAACAACAAATAATAAAATTTTGTTTAAAAAGGAGACATTATTTTAAAAAAAAGCACTTGCCTACAGCCTACAAGTGCAAGACTCTGAGTTCAGTCCTCAGCTGTGCACAAAAAGATAAGTGCTACTCATTCATTGTTGTCTTGTCCTTTGAGTTGCAGTGATTGGCTTTTTTACTTGGGGTGCTTTTTTTCATTTTTATTGTTTTCTCCTCATGATTCCCTTCCTCTTCTCCCTGAGCTATAGAATCATAATTCTGCATGCAGTCATCATAGAAAGTTAGCTTCTCCTTATATGTTGAGTAGTATACCCATTGGTTGTCCTTGCCTGCCAGGAAAGCATTGTATCCTGCAGTTTTTCAGATGATGAAACAAGTTCTACATTAAGGCAGACATCCATGCTCTTTATGAAATAGCTTTTCCTTCTGCACATTTCTTCTCTTGGTCTGGATTTTTATGTTGTGTTTTATTCTCCTAGTATTCTTAGCATTTTTTTTTTTTGGTTTGTGCCAATTCTGGGGCATAAAGTCAGAATCTGAGCACTATCTCTGAGATTTTTTGCTCAAGGATAGTGAGCCATAAGTCTACTTCTAGCTTTTTTTTTTTTTTTTTTTTTGGTTGTGGGGCCTGAACTCTGGGCCTGAGCGCTGTCCCTCAGCTCTTCAGCTCAAGGCTAGCACTCTACCACTTGAGCCACAGCGCCACTTCTGGCTTTTTTTCTTTTTGCTTATGTGGTGCTGAGGATTCGAATCCAGGGCTTCATGCATGCAAGGCATGCACTCTACCACTTAGCCACCTTCCCAGCCCCATTTCTAGCTTTTTTGATGGTTAATTGGAATCTTATGGACTTTCCTGCCTGGGCTGGCTTTGAACCATGATCCTCAGATCTTAGCCTCCTGAGTAGTTACAGACCTGAGCCACTGGTGCCTGGCTTTTTACGTCTTTATTACCTATATGATGCTAAGTATGAAAAATCTCTTAATTTCAATGTTTAGATTTATTTGATACACTGTAACTTTAAAAATTTTTAAAGTTGATATTATGTTGTGTGCATTCATGTGCACATTGAAAAGGTATTCTTCTCCTTCTCTGAGAATCTCTTCTTTGGTATATTGTATTAATGGGTGGTATTTGCCCTGCCCCTGGTATTCTTCTCTGTTATAGATAATTCATATTGGATCTCTAGACCTTAGACTCTTGCCATCAAAAAACAAACAAAAAAACAGCAACAAGAAAAGACCCCAATCATCAAAAATTAAAAGAAATTAAATGAAGGAATGAATAGAATTAGGGGGGGGGCACAAAAAAAGCTATAACAAATAAAGCTGCAACCAGCTTTATTTGTGACTTTTTCTGATCCTGTGTCCAGGTTCAAATATGATCTGGTTGAGGTGGTAGTAAGGGGGCATGCATACCTGCCAATACTGAAGGTTAAACTCAGTGTCTCATGTTTTTTTCACTCAAGTCTGGCGCCTCTGTCACACATCTTCACTTCTAGGTTTTTGCTAGTCAATTGGAGATAAAAGTCTCTGAGCCACAGTCTTTGGATTTTAGTCTCACGAGTTGTTAGAACAGGCCTGAGCCACTGACACCTGACATGGTCATGTCCTTTTTGTAGACTTCATATTCTCTATTGTCATCTGTAGAATAATGGATGAGTTTCTGGGTACATAATTTGAATGAGTCATCTTTATAATCTTGTTTCAGTAAAGATGAAAAATCTTATTTCAGCCCAATTGAAATACCTATGATGTAATGAATTACACATCCATCAACTTGAGAACTGTTCTGGGGATTATGTAGACATGGTCAATAGTGAAGAGCTACATTTGGTGGGAACACCATATAAAAACCCAGCCATGGCTGCATGTTGTAGGGCTAGCAGATGATTAGGAATTATGTATTTGTTCCCTACAAAGGCCTGCTGGAGTAGAGCCTGTGCACCATGCATGCACAGCAATTGGGAAAGCCCAGTTCAGCTGCCAGGGGCACTGGGAGAGTGGAGGTGTTGGAGGAGAACAGTCTTGGAAAGGTATGGACACTTTGCCAGTCAGCTCCCAGCAGCTATTTCATTAAAGATCCTCCACTGAAAATATGATGAGATACTAAGGACATAAGGTCTTCAATCCAAAAGTGTCTGTGGAATTTTTGTCATGTATCAATCCCCACATCTGACAGCCACAACTAAGTCAACATCATCCCAGGACTCATGCCTTTAGTTCTTGGGGGAACTGAAGTAGAACCACAGACGGAGCAAATGGTCAGAAGGAAAACCCCCTGAGAGGCCTGGAGAGGTGTTCCAAATGGCTTATGGGGCCTGGCTGCGAAGTGGGTATGGCTGGGGATGCAGGGTTGGGGCTGGCAGTGAAGGGTGTGGATCCTCATGCAACTCCTCTTCAGTGTATCTTGTGCTGGGAGGGAGGGGGTCACTCTAGGTGTTTAAATGGGGGACTGACAATCATCACAGTTTTTGGGAAATGACTCTGATGTCCAAGCAGAACATGGATTGGAGGGGGATGGGCCTGGAATCTGAGGGACGCTCTCAAGGCGTTAAGTTGCCCAGGCTTCCTGAAGAACAGGAGCAGGGTCCTACATTCTCGGACCACAACCACCACTTGGTTTTGAGAACTACCCAGGTCCCATCCCTGTCTCAGAGCCCCATGCTGTCTCCAGGAGCTGCTCCAGTCTCGAGCCTTCTTTCCACACTCCCGAGCTCATAGGCAGCATGGCATGGTCACTGAACTGACTTTTTCAGGATCTAAGGCTTCGTTATCTCCAGTCCTTGTGTGTCTTCCTCCTGGCCCTGGCTCTGCCCTGTCCCCCAGTTTCCTTGGCTTCCAGGCTGGTTTTTAGATGGGCTCTCACAAGCCTCACAGACATCAGTCCAGCAACAAGGATGACACAGCCCTTTCTGTGAAGGTGGCTAGAGAGATAGAATACAACAGCTCTGTCATACTTACCTGGAAGGATTGGAGGCCACTTAAGTATCAGAGCAGGGGAATCAAAAATGCCACAGCAGAGTGCTGATCTCACTTGAGTGCATCAGTGATGATCATTATTGCCCCATGCTTTTATTAGTAAACTGTCTTAATGGAATAGGTACTGCGGATAGGGGAAATACATGGCAAAGCCATGCTGGTGGAAGGCTGTAGAGATTAGAAATGGCTTGGTGATGAAATTGAACTGGGATCTAGAAAGATCCCAGTTCAGAAAGCCTGAGTTCAGAAATCCCACATGTTTTGGCCACTAACCTCCATTTGCCAAATAGACCTGGTGAAGGGCAGAAAAGGAGATTTATTACATGGCAGCTATGGGAAGATAGTACTTTATTTCATCTTCATCTGTCTTCAGGGGTATAGGCATTGGCTTCAGGTTATAGGGAGAATTAGGGGCAGCAGGTGAGAAGGGTATACATGGTTAAAACAGTCCCAGGTCACAACTGGTCTGGTGGACCATTAGCTCAGGCTTTGACTCCAGAAACCTGATAGGTTGTGTATAGCTTTTGGCTGTTCTCTCCAAGACAATAAGAAATAGCTTTACCTGATCAGTGACAGTTTGTCTTTTTTTGTTTGTTTTTCATGTGATCTTTTTTTTCTTTTCTTTTCTATTTTATTGTGAAAATACCGTACAGAGGGGTTACAGTTACATGGGTAAGGTAACTTCAGTTTAACTTTTGTCACAAGATGCTTACCAATGTATCCTGTTCTTCCTGGAGGCCAAGGTGGTTGTAAGGTGACAGCATTAGGAATTGGTTAGCTCAAAGGGCACAGATAAAATGTGTGTGTGTGTGTGTGTGTGTGTGTGTGTGTGTGTGTGTGAAAGAGAGAGGGAGAGGGAAGGAGAGAGGGAGAGCGAGAGGGAGAGAGAATGCCCATCTTTTAATTCACAGGCTCAGCAAAAGCAGCATTTAAGTTGCCTCTTACAATGAGAGAAGTTCAGGCCTCTAGAGAATCCAGCCTCAATAGCAAAGGAGTCATCTGGGAGTGAATGAACACAATGCAGAAGAGCACACACCTAACAATGACTGCAAATGGACCTCAAGTCTTTCAATTAATTGTTTTAAGTTAAATCTTGGACCAACCTCATCGTGTTGCTAATATCAACTTAAAACATTGGCATCTCTTTTCAGAACAAGTGGAGAAATGGAGAAGGGAAGGCTAGAGTTTGTACTTGGGAGGATGAATTAAGGTCCAAACATAGTAGATAGTGTCTCAATAGCCATGTGCTTATTTAATTCCTGAACTAGACAGTTGCAAGCAACAGTAATAAGCCCCAAGATAGATGAGGTAGGAAGAAAGCATTAAACTTCTTTGAGTTAATTCCACCTTCACAGTCAGAAGTCATGTCCAGTTTCCTGAAGAGACTTGCAGACACAGTCTCTAAGGAATTTAAAATAATTTCGTGCTTTCATGGGGAACTGAAAGTATGCCCGAAGGCAAGAGAAACATAAATGCTCTAAGCTTCATGGAGGGCTTGCCTCTTCTTGTCACTAATTAAGACACCAAGTGGTTTGGGG